TATATATATATATATATATATATATATATATATATATATATATATATATATATATATATATCAATAACTACATAGGATGTAAAAGTTAAAATATATAAAAAACCAAAAAAACATCATTTTACACAAAGCTCAAAGTAAGAATTAATAAAAATTTCAAAGATATACGTTCTTATAAGAACTTTCTTCAACTATAATTTTTATGGAAAAAACCCTTTCATTGAAGAGTTCAAATTAAAAGGCCTTTTAGCAGACGCTTATCCGGATAAACACTTACCAATTATATTACCTCACCGGATGAATATAGTAAGGACCAAAAATCTTAACCGATAAGAGCGAGACAATGATCAAGAGTCTTATTCCGTAAGTGAGGGCAACGACTCTTACCACGGTAAACGCTTACGGGGTAAATTATTGTATACTATGTCGTTTTTATGGACTAAAATCTTACCCGATAGGTACATAATAATATTAAATTTCACCAGTAAACACTTATCTGGTAAATGTTTGATAAACAACCCCTAATATTTCGACGCATTTATCTTTTTGTGTTTACGGTTTTTCTCCAAAAATTAATAAATAATATTTAATGAATATTATATTTTTTTATAATCCAAAAAGTTAATGACAATAAAGGCATATGGTTAAAAAAGCTTATCCACCCATTTAAATTTTGAACATTGAGGTCTATTTTGAATATGGTGTGCCATGTAGGGTCACAATATTAGTAATTTACTCTTTTACCCCCCACAACTTTGTCATTTGTCTTTGTCTTTAACTAATCCACAAAATTAATGCAATCTGTCTTCTTCTTATCTTCGTGTCGTAGACCATTAGTTATAAATCTTTATACGTTACCAGTTCTACAAAAACACGCCTTCTAATATTCAGATGCAGATATCATATATGCATTTATCTTAATACTGTATTATCCAAACACATTTAAAAACAATTTATAGTCTCGTTTTTCGAAGATACAAATACAACATGATCTGTGAGGTTTGACCTCGTCTTTTTTGTCTTAATATCAGATTATATGAAGATATGACAAATCTTAAATTATAACGTATATTATATAATACGATATTAATTTCAATTTTATATGCCATGGTTCCTAATGCATGTTGTGCTTAATAATTAAGTAGCAATTATGTATTTGTTAAGTCATGTGCCAAGTGAGGTTACCATGGATTAAGAAATATATATTACACATTATTGAAGTCATGTGCCCATAAGTTTGGGTTTCTACTTATTCTATTGCTTACTAATCATGGTTTAAGAATATGTTTTCCTTGATCATTAATAGTTTAATTAATTAATATTTTAGCAAATTAATTTAAAATTTCTTCGGGGCCGTTTACTAAACACTTACTTGGTAAGTGCTTACCGGATAAATTTCCTTATCGGATAAACATAAGAAAGGCCAAGAATCTTACCGGGTAAGAGCAATGAAAAGAATAGAGAGTCTTACCCGGTAAGCAAGGATGACGACTCTTACCCAATAACTTGTTGCATTCGATATGTTTTGATGTACTAAAATCTTACGTATAAAAATAAATTATAATGTTGAATCTTATCGGTAGGCACTTACCGGGTAAGCATTTGGGTAAACGACCCCTAAATTTGTAAAATAAGAATATTATAAAAGTTGAAGAATTTTGTATGCATTATTGATTTGTAACACTTCTATTTTTTATTTGTTTATTAAATATTTTTAATACTTGTTTAAAATATAAAACATGAATGCTTTATAAGATAGTAATATAATATTATTAGTAAAATCAAATAATTATCATAATAAAATGCATAACTTTTATAATAAAGACTTGCTCAAACAAAAGATTAGTATTTCCTCCTCTGATACTTGATTATTCGCTTTAATTTGAATGAAACATGGGTAAAAACGTAAGGTAACCACAAAATTCAATGAGCGATGCCAAATCTGTTACAAATCGGAATGGACTGTTATACTGAGTTATGAACTCATGAGTGAAGCACAATGCTTCTTTTGTGGAAATTCCGTAATTATAATCCTAGTTAAATCGACGAGACTCATGTCCTTCTTATAACTACATATAGGAATGGGAATCCTAAAATGACACGTTATATCTCTGCAAAACATCTATCTTTAGCTTTATCTTTGATATCACTGAAGGTTTTGTGGTGTGAGTTTTGTATTCTTGAAGAATATTTGTTTCTTGAGAATTACAATACTTGTTCAGAGATCACTGAAAAGGTATTCATATTACAAACCTTACTAGAGCTGTTCATACTCTCACTTTTCCCATACATAATAACAAGGTTTGTTTGACTGGTGAAATATTTTTATGTGTTATTTATTTCTCAGAACTAGACAGAAAGACGAGTTACAAAATAAAATATTATTGAATAATTTGAAAATTAAGTTTAAATTTCATTTTTAGTGAAATTAAAAGAAATTACAAAAAATATTATACCCACATTTTAATTTTAATTTTGATTGTTTTTATACAAGAACAATATTCATATGCTCAAGAAGCTAAAAAGATCCTAATGTGGGACCCATATCTTTGAATCCACATGTAATCACATGATAGAAAATGGATGCCCATGTCTATTTCACTCAATTTCTTTATTAAAGACACATACATACATACATACATATAGGGTTCAAACAAGAACACATTTATTTTACGAGAACATGAAAACATTTTTTTATCGTAAACAATCACATGTGTTATTATTATTCTATCACATATGATACACATGTGATACTAAATCAGAGATGCGAGCGATTTTCAATGCGATCTTGGTTGCGGGCCAAGTCGCCCTTACACCACTAAGCTCTCTCACAAGTATTATCACATGTGATAATGGTGTTGTTGATATGATACTATAATTCATCAAGACCGTCACATGTGATGGTAAATCATAGACGCAGACAACCTTTGACGCGATCTAAGTCGTAGAACACGTCGTCCGCACATCACATGGTCCCATCACGCGTATTATCACATGTGATAAGGGTATTCTCACGTTCTCGTAAAATAGAGGTGTTCTCGTTTGAACCTCCACCTATATATATATATATACATATTTCTTAAATACATTTGAAATTAGGTATGTACATAGAAAAAAAACGATGATCCAAATCCGATCAAACTTGGCCTGAGGATCGAATACACAAGAACGTTCCTTCAAGGATTGAAAACAATTCCAAACTCGATCCAATCCTTTGAGCATAACATTGCTCACTTTTGTGAATCATAACACATTCGGAACTTATTTTATCAAAATTTGTTTACTAGTTCGGTCAATAACTGAACTGGATCCAGTCAACATCCTTCACAACAACATCTTGGAATTATAGATGTTGCATTGAATATGCAGAAGCAACAAAAACATATGCAGGCGTTTGGATTGTTTCCGTGGAAGCAATAGAAGGATTTTTAGGTAAACCCGACTTCTTTTTAGCTAACTAAATTAGCTCAGAAGGATTGAAACGATGACCGCTTTTTGTACATATTTGTTTAAAATAAAATAAAATAGAAATTTATTTATTTAATGCATCATTTGGTAATTCATTGGGAAATATCAGGGATAAAGTTTAATTCATGGTGTCTACATTTTTGAACATGTTTTAACCATTTAAATAAATTAAGTGCAGTTAATAATATTTTCCATTTTAAATAAAATACAATACAATACATGACATGTGCTGAAATAAATATAATCAATTAAAAATAAAAATACCGATTTTCTTTCAATTATAATGAACAAAAATATAAAAATATGTCGACTCAAAATCAATATTTATTATCTATCGATGGTGACGATAAATAAATTAATTAAAAATATTAAATATAGAAACTATTTGAAATTCAACAATTTTTAATAATATTTTATTATTTTATTTGTATTATTTTCATTTTAACTCTTTTTCTCACATGATAAAATTAATAATTGGATGGAATTTAATATATCTTTTCCCTCTATGCAAAATTAAAAGTTTGAAAACTTCACTTCGAAAGGGCAATATGGTAAATTCGCATGTACCTACCTGATGACACCCCCTGCTGGTCGTTATATACGCAAAGCAATCTTTCTTCATTCAAGCTCTGCTAAAATTTCTTCTGTTCATCAATGGCGGAACTCGAGTGCCCAACGGTGATGAGCAAGCTGATCTCCTACCTCTCATCTCTCCTCCAACGGGTTGCTGAGTCCAATGATCTTAACCCCCGATTCCACCCACAGAAGATCTCGGCGTTTCATGGTCTTACCAGACCAACTATCTCAATTCAGACCTATTTAGAGAGGATTTTCAAGTATGCCAATTGTAGCCCTTCCTGCTACGTTGTTGCATATGTTTATCTCGATCGGTTTACTCAGCAACAGCCTGCGCTTTCCGTCAATTCATTCAATGTTCATCGGTTGCTGATTACGAGTGTAATGGTTGCTGCCAAGTTCATGGATGATATGTAAGGTTTTTCGCTTAAGTAGAGTGGTATTCTAGGTCTGGAATTGGAATTAGAGATCGTTTAGTTCATATTCAACACTGATGTTGCTCAAATTCCAAAGCCAAGCCATTGAATTCATTACGTGTGTGTGAAATTGCATTCTCTTCTCATAATTGAGCTTATTTAGGGCAGTTTTTTGATGAAAACTTCAATTAAACCTCCCTCAATAAGCTGATCGCCGATTGAAGAGTCCTTCAATTCTGTTATAGGCATCAAATTAGCGTCCTCTAAAGAATAATAGGGTTTTTTTACTTCAGAAGTTGCTTTTGAAGTTAGGAATGAATTCCTAACAGGGAAAAGGGGGAAAAACAAATATACTTTCCTTTAAACTCTTGTTCTCTATGTCTTGCTTAAAAAGAGGATGAATGATGAACTGAAGGTTGATTGAGAATCTTGCCATAGATTTCATATGCAAGTGTTTCTATGTTTTGATTGGAATCAATCCAATTTTAGGAAGAAAAAGAACATGGATCCATGTTCTTGAATTGTTATGGAAACAGTGACCATAATTGTTGTATTTTGATCCACAGATCGCTGTCAATTTAAACTGTACTTTTCTAATTCACAATCTTGCCAAAAACATCGGCCCGATTAACCATGTAGGTTGTTTCTTGCCATTTTCAATCATTAGCTCCTAGATATTTGATATGAATGAGAGTATGAGACCACAGACATCAAGCATTGATTATGGCTTGATTTCATTAAGACACTTTCATTTCATAAAGATTTCATATCTTCTTTGACAACTTTAAAGGAAAAATATGTGCTATTATCATTGCAAAGAATAGACCTAGAAATGAGAAGTGGGTACACCAAGATTTTTAAGGGTAATGGTCCATTTTCTTGTTATTAAATTGTGTGGTTAAACAGACAGACATTGAAATCTTTATTAACTGATGGAGTAATAAATATGCATCAAGTGGTTGTACAAAGTTTCATTGGTGGTTGCATTTTCTTTATCTTGTTTTCTTCCCCACCTCATGAATGCCACCTAGAAAGAATGTTAGTCCCCACCACATAAATAATCATGAGTATACATACACCTTCATATCAAAAAGCTTAAACTTCAACAAACCATTAAATGTGAACAAGGGTATCTTGTAGGTTGATTTAATCACCCCAACCACCACCTAGATGTAAAAAGATATGTATCCAAATTGTGTTCAAAATGCATTATCAAGAAGTATGATAATAACAGCACTAATATGTCAGTTCTCATCTGTAGTTAAGAAGCATGATCAGGATCAATTAAGACACAATTGTATAGTACAAAGACCTTCAACTTTAATGGTAGTACTTGACATTAATGTTCTTTTTGTGTTTATGGGATTATTTCTTCAGGTACTATAATAATGCATACTATGCAAAAGTAGGAGGAATCAGCACAACAGAGATGAACTTTCTTGAAGTGGATTTCCTATTTGGATTGGGGTTCCAATTGAATGTGAATCCAACCACATTTCACACCTACTGTTCTTATCTCCAAAAAGAAATGTTCCTTCTTCAGCCACCACCAAATATAGAAGAATTATCATCATCCTCTTATAAATCAAGGTCAACAAAGCTCCTCCACTACGAGGATGATCAACAACAGCAACAACAAGAAGTGGTAGCTGTTTGATTAATCTGCTTTTTTTATCTTCCTATATCATATTATGAAGCTTGAATCTTAATTTTTAGGTAGATCTGTAGATTATTTGATATGGGTTTAGCAAGTTAAGCCTTTTTTTGGCTAACCCTTTTTCCAGAACCAAAATTGACAAATCCAGAGTAAGGTACACCTTTCTTTGCAAGAGGTACATGTTGATGTAACAGTAATGCTCTGGACTTGGAAAGTTTTATAATGGAAAAAGGATTAACCTTTCTTTTTGTATTTCATGTTTGAGGGTGCATGTGACTTGAATCAAATGGTGGTATATACAGATGGGATGCTTTTTATTTGCTTTACTTTCTGGATTTAGATGGCAGATTTATGGTCCTTAAAAGTAGATGTGTGGACCCATGTTCGCATGAGTCTCTCACATCTACGATAACATTAGATTTTTTTCGGATGGTTCAATGTTATCTCTGATAACTAATCAGATTGTACATGTAATAAGAAGTCTAATTCATGGATTGTTTTAGGTTATTACAATTTGTAGGATATATAAATGTTTGGGCTTTTTCTGACATGTAGAGATTGGAATTGGATGAGGCTTTAATTGGTTAAAATCTTTTGGAAGGAGTTTGAGGTTTCAAGATTTAAGGTAATGTGGCTATTGTGAGTTGTACATTGTGCATCAGAATCTGTAAATGCAGTCTGAATGTGAGATCTCAGAAAAGGTGTAGACTTTAAATGGTTCTTGGAGATACTTTTGTTGATTATGATGAATTGAACAAAAAAATATCAGAAATATATAAAAAAGAGAAAGATTCTAAATGGTGGTCCATTTGGTTGGGTAGGGTCTGCAAGTATAAAGTTGAGAAAGGGGACATTGTGTAAGATCCAATCTGGAAAGAGAGGAACATGAGTGGATGTCATTTCAAACTCTAAACCCCACAAAATTTTACATCAAAATTCTAACAATTTGTGTTACTTATTTGAGATACCCTAAGGAAAGTTAATTAAAATATCCATTTTTATCGGTTGTTTGTATTTTTTTAGTTCTTTTTTACAAGGTTTATCGAAATAGCTTTATGTTCACAATTTTAATTTTTTTGAGGATCTGGGTAAAAAATGTAATTTTTTTTACGGACCTGTGTGAGAAATATCTTTTTTTTACGAACAGGGGTAGAAGGTGTGATTTTTTTTTTTTTGTATTTTAGCTGGGTCCGTAATTGTGGACATGGGTTTTTTTCCATACCTATGACTATTTTGGTAAACTTGAAGAGAAAATAACTAGGAGGTGAAATCAACCCTAAAAAACAGCTATTTTAATAAATTTTCTAGTATTTTGTCTATTAATCTTATGTATTTATGTTTTAAAAGAGAGTCAAAGATGTTGGCATAGTTAAAATCGACGACAAAGATGACATTTGTATTGATCCTTGGAAGGGGGGGACATGTAACATGTGATTTGATGCAAACCTCTAGTTGGCCATGTGCCATGTTGGACATGAGATGCATACCCATCAAATTATATGTAAGATACCAAGTTTTTTATGTACCAATTAATTATAATTAGTATGTAAAATCTTATGTCATGTATCAGTTAACTGTGTTTGGTATATATTTTCTTGGTATTAATATTTTTCGGTTGGTATATGTTGGTACTGGTTTTGTACCAATTTTGAGCTACGTATATGAAAACTTGTCATTTGAGCGACATTTTAAGCTTACAGGTAGTACATATGACGTTTACGAGTTTTTAATTCCAAGGAATAAAACATGTAAATATTCAAATGTACAATCAAAATAGTTAAAAAGTTGCAAGGTAATAAATAATTAAATAAGTCGTTACCATTGTACTACTGTGGTACGTAACTTTCGATACTGTATAACAACCAAGTTTGCATACTTGGTACAGTACAACCGACTGTAACTGATACCAATTAAATTGGTAAACGGTGGTACATATGTTGATTGGTTTGATTTGGTACAAAATTGTCACTTTAACATTTCTTTTTTTAATCGAAATATTCAAACTTGAAATGTTTAAATTATCTTATGAAATTCATATCATTTGGACAAACGTTGTTGAATAATGGTCGAAAATATTTTGTTGTACTCAAAATTTTGTCATCTCATTTATGGTTTATTGGTGTTTCGGGAAACGATCATGGCATATGAAAATGATGTTGTATATACAGGCAAGTACATTTATTTCTTTTGTTCTTTCACTTTCATTGTCGCATTTATAAGAATGACAGTGATATAATTATTGGAAAAATGATGGATATCTGGTTTTTTATATTCACCAGACAAAGATAACAAAACTCAGTTAATATTTACAGAAATTGAAATGTCAGTACAACAATGCATTATGGAAGGAGAAATGAATTGGTGCAAGTTATATGTTGATTAACTTTAATTAATTAATAAGTGTATTTCAGGTTTAATATTACTGATTATCCTTATTTCAAAACTACTTATGACGGGACGATTGCAAAACAAGAATCACATGCGTGACAACACGGATTTGGCTCCTTGTTGTCTGTGAATTACGGCCAACGTCAAGGACACAACTAAAGGGTGTTGTGCGCTTGTCTATGTTTGACGAGTCTCAATACACCATGCTACCTCAACGACCGTACACTAATGGCCTGGTATGAGATATCGTCACGAACTTGATTGCATTCGTTACTCATAGTAGTATGACTTAGATGGCTCTGTTTCACACGATTAAGAATGTATCCCAAATTAAATGCCACCATTTAAGATACTCATACATTTTTTACGTTGTAGCAAAACACATTATAAAAAAATTGGGTTTATATGAACCCTCAATCTCTAAGCGTCCCAATAGACCGTTTTATAGGACTTAATTTATGGGACCAAAATATAAAGCGTCATATCTAAAGGTGTTGTAATAAGTTTATGTGACGCTTTTGGACGTCTTAACAAGTTTTTAGGACATTTTTAATACAAAGTGTCGCATTAGCAACTTTATAGAACACTTTTGAGAAAGTGTCATATAAAATGAATTTTTTATAGGACATTTGTTTTTATAAGACAAATTTTCAAATAGTATCCTATAAAGTTGCTAATGAGATGCTTTATATTATAAGTGTCATAAAAATCTTATTATGACGTCAAAAAACGTCATATAAACTTATTACAACACCTTTAGATAGAACGCTTTATTTTTTTGGTCCTATAAACTAAGTCCTATAAAGAGGTATATTAGAACGCTTAGAATTTCGAAGTGTCCTATAAACCCGATTTTATTGTAGTGACACCGACGGTGAGGAGGGTAAAGATTTAGGGGACGATTAGGTAATTAGTATTTCTATTATTATTCATGTTGAATCCTTTTTACGGTTAATATTTACTCATGTTTATTATTTATATTTGTCTGTTTAATTACTGATTGTTATTTCAATTAAAATCATACTCATTAAAAACGGTGAAAAAGAGCACAACAAAATTAGCCAGTCATACTATTTATATCTATCAATTACATGAATACACATCATCAGAGAATATGAATTTAAATAAAATAATTTAAATATATAAAAATATGATTTGTCTTCATTTTATTAGTTGGATAGAAATGAGAGGTGTGATTTTACGGCATCCGTTTTTATCCCCTATTTATCTAATTTTTAGAAAATAAAAAAGTCATTTGTAGAGATGATGTGCCGTCACAATATCTTATTTCTTTTTTAAATCGTTTTTAGCAATGACCATGTTCTCTCTATTGCGCTACAAAACAAAGAGGCTTTACAGTTGTAGGAAAATTCATCACCAGTCGATGAAGCCTCTTTGTTTTGTAGTGTTGACAATTTCGAAAAAATTAAAAATAACTTATTCGGATGACAATATAAGTGTTTTTTATTTTATTTTCAAGAATCTATACTACCTTATAAACTAGATTTATCAAAAATTTTAAAAACAATTTTTAATGCACAAAGTACTATACATTTATGCACAAAGTCATAAAAAGTCTTAAAACAACTCATAATGCATTAAGTACTACTACTTTATGCATTCAGTATTAAAATCTCTTAATCTACAATTAAAATAACATATAGTACAAGTTACCAATGCACATTATTATCTTTTCTTTTCATGTTCCTAAGATATTTTTGACACATTTCACTCATCCATTCACCCTCTCATACCTCTATGTCTTCTCCTCATCCCCCAATGTGAGATTCAAACGGATATTCACCATGAGTTGATAAAAGTTCTCTCATTCAATTGCTCTAAAACTCTCGGTCTCGGTCTCGATCTCTTGATTTTTTGCTCTTGGTGTAAATCGAACACATTTGTGGAGTCGTTTAAATATGTTGGATTTTAAATATATTGGACTTTAAACTGTCATACAATTTTTTTCATCGATAGACTGTAATTGGAACCATAACTCTTATTTATTCAAATTGTATTAATATGTAAAGACCAAATGTAACTTATATTATCGTTAAATTTTCTCTAATAAAACCAATGAAACTTCAAAATCGATAAATTCACGGCTCCCGCCATATTGCACAGGTACACAACTAGTCACTTATAAAAATGATATGTAATCTCAAGAGCCCTCATTGATTTCTCCATTAGTATGAGATAATCTCAAGTGTATAATCATCAAAGTGATAGTGAATTAGTTGTCGACGTCCTCGGGATATGGTTTTTCCCTTCTGGGTTTCCAAGTAAAAATCCCGTTCATTGTCTTATGCTCTATTTTGCATTTTATCGGGTTGAATATTATTTACATTACTTGGTGTTTTGATTTTCTTATATTGTCAATCGTTATTCCGTTTTGAATCTCGATATAGAACTTTAGCTCATTGTTCTTGGGTTATATGTGTTTTTAACCAATTATTGAGCTTTTAGCCATATTAGGCCCATCCTAATAATACCCTTGGTCCTCCACAACAAAGCAGAAGAAGAGAACACAACACCGTAAAACCCACAGAAGATCATTTTTATGTTTGAGAACTATGAGAATTACCTCGAAACCCACAAAAGATCATTTTTATGTTTGATCCAAGGGCTAGAAAAAAATACGGTGGAACTTGATGTAAATAAGTGGAACTTTGATGGTATGGATGTAGGAGACACGGACCTTAACATATCTTAAAGGGAACGCCGTGGTGAGTACATTGATCATGTAAGCGACAAGAAGAACCCCACATAATTGAAAAAAAGAAAGATACTGTAGGCTATCTGGTTTTGAGTAGCCAAAATAGATTGTCTAGCAATATGTGGTTTCGTAGCAATGATATTGATATTTTTAGCAGATGATAACGTTTAATTATTTGGAATATGCACTACTAGAATATTGGGTATTTCCGGCGAGATTCCCGATGGACCAGCCGGAATATTACCGGCGGAATACCGGCGGACAACAATAAAGTTAACTATTGTTGACTTCCGATGGAAATCCGCCGGAAAAATTATTTTGGTAATATTTCCGGCGGATTTCTTAATTAATCATTTTAGAAGAGTAATGTCAATTTAATTACAATAACTTACCGACGGATTTCCGGCAGATATTTAATTAATCTTTTAAAATTAATACCCGTCGGAAAGTAATTAAAAATTAAAAATTATTTTTAACATTTTCCAGGGAATTACCGACGGAAGGTAATATTTATTCATGATTTTATTAAAAAATCAAATATTTTCCGGCGGAGGAGGAGTAGGAGTGACAGCAGGTGGAGGAGGAGCGACGGCGAAAGAAGAAGGATCAACGAGATAAACAACTTGAAGATATGGCTGTTTTGGTTAGACAGCTCAGTCAACTCAACATTTCCCCACCACCATATTGAATATTGTCTGTTTGTTTGTAACAATTTAGTTTTTGGACCAATTTAATTTTTGTTTGGTTAGGATAATTGTCATTTACTTTAATGTATGATATTTAATTGCATTTCGTCTTTTTAGTTTTTTTAATATTTTACAGCTTTTAAACATTAATTGTAAAAATAATTTAAAATTAATATTTATAAATTTTTCTGGCAAATTTCCGGCAGAATTATCCGTCAGTAAATTTTAAATTTAAAAATATATTTTTTTAAAAATTAATAGTTGGTAAATTAATCTATTTTTTAACAAAAACTTAAATATTTTCTTAATTTAATCACGAATTTTTAAATAAACCGGCGGAAAATTTCCAGCGGCCGGTATCCGCCGGAAAATGATAAAATCCGCCGGGAAATTAATCACCGGCGTCAATCTTTTCGGCGGCCATATCTGTCGGAAATAAAGATCTCCAACGGATATAGCCGCCGGAAATAACACAATGCTTGGTAGTGATGATCTTCCTGCATAATGCCTCCCAGAAGGATTAAGTGCAGGTTGATATGTTACAGTAGCGATAAGTATAACGATCACGAGAAGGGTGTTTCTTACTAAGCTTGGAGAGTCTTTGAGGTTATTGTATTTGAAGTAATCGAACAAATTTCCAATTGGAGAACCATGGTTTTCGCGTGGATTATTTGGTCTAATTTCTTCCTGTGTAGAATCAGCCCTTGATTCATGGCTCTATATATGAACAGAAATCTTGCCATACTTTGATATATAATTAAGCTCAGAAAGAGCTGTTTAAATAAGCTAATAGATGTTCAAGCATTCAGACCCTTCCTTGACTTGCATATACAGATACATTTCTACACCTGCTAAAGTAATTTCTCAAGAGTATGGTCATAACTGGTATCAGGAACGGTAAAGCAATCGAGCTGAAGATAAAAACAAACGTTGCATAACTATCTGGCGCGATCGCATTCATGCAAGTACTGTAGGTCATAGAAAGCGCATATAACGAAATTCGCAGTTCCCACCGCAGAGGAAAAGCTGCGGTTAGTACTTCGATCATGTAGAGCGACATGTAGAACCCAACCGAATTGGCACACAGAAATATAGTATAGGCTGTTGGATTATGAGTAACCATAATAGCTTCTCCAGCAGTATGTGATTTAGTAGGAGTGCTGGAATTGTTCTTTTCCGTACTGTTTCCGGCAAGCAGAGTATAATCGTCCTGCCACGTGCCGCCGGGAGGACTGAGAGCCGGTTGATACGTTGCAGCAGTGATAAGTATCACGATCACGAGAAGGGTGTTTCTTACTTCGCTAGGAGAGTCTTTGAGATTATTGTATTTGAAGTAATCCAACAGTTTTCTAGATGGAGATTGAGGGTTTTGGTGTATTGAATCCGGATCATTTGGTGATCTTTCTTCTTGTGTATTCGCCGGAGATTGTAAATTTCCGGCCTTTAAAGCTCCGGATTGAACGAGAATCTCCTCGATTTCTCGATCACCGGCTTCACTTTGAAAAATCAGTAGCATATCAAGAGGAGTTAAACCACTCTTGTTTAAGGAATTCAACTTAATCTTTTCTATGCTGATTACTCCTCCATTTAGTAGAAAGTCAACCACCTACCCAAAAAAAACATGAACTTTAACCAAAGATTCTATGTCAATCGACAAAAACCCACTTAAAAAAACATGAAATTTAACTAAAAGATCTTCAAGATTCTTAGTACAATCGACAAAAATCCACTTACCTCGTACTGTTTCCTTGAGACAGCAAGATGCAAGATCGTATTCCCATGAAAATCCTTAGCATTCAGCAGTTCTTCCTTGTTGACTTGCTTCAGATGCTGTATCAGAACTTGAAAAGCTTTGAATTGGTTGTTCTTCACTGCTAGATGAAGAGAACTCTCACCTTGGGCAGTCATGCATTCGATCGAATCCAAACTTGATAAAACCAGTTCTCTAATGACTTCAACTTTACCTTTGACCACCGCCAAATGGAGAGGAATCTTTCTGTCTTTTCCTTCGATCAAACACAAACCAAGGTCAACTTTAAGAAGCTCCTTCACAATCTCGACATGCCCACAAGCGGCGGCAACGTGCAACGGACTGTAACCATCTTGGTTAAGCTCGTTGGCGAATTCTTGCCGGAGTTGAACAACTGTTGCTGCAAAGTTGAGATTTCCGGCGAAACAAGCGATATGTAACGGAGTTTGGCCACCTTCCAGCGCCATGGAATGTAGCAGAAATGGATTGGTGTCAATTTCTTTAAGCAGATGATCGACATCCCCATTCCAGGCTGCCTGAATCAGCCTTCGATCCATGGGTGAGTTGCTTTCACATGTTATTGTCGATAAAGAACTAATTACAGTATGTACGTGTGTGTATATATATATATATATATTTGTGTTTCTGATATAAAGATGATGCAAGGTTGGACCAGTCAACAGGTATGGATGAGTGACAAGATGGAACAAGTCAACGGGATAAGGTAGAAGAAAGTCTAATGGATTTTTAAATTCCAGTGTTTGACTTTCAATTATTTAATTACTCTCGGTTTGTACACAAAGGGGGGGCTTTTTTTTTTATTAAACTAGTTATTCAACCCGTTATACGATTGAATTAATTTCAAGATCACCATCTATTTTGCAGATAATCTGGAGTCATCATATTTGAACATCTATGACTATAAAGAGATTTTTATTACTTCTTGGATTTGAGTTTCGAACCTCCTGATATTTTTGATCTTTGGAGTCAAAATCAAATCAATCAGACACTATCCTTATGATTCATAGAGGACTTCTTTAGATAGTTGGAAGGGAAATCCACATAAAATGAACATATTCTACAATAAAATTTAGCTATTAATCATTTATCTTCGAATTTTATCTAAAAGTCACTAGCTTTATAATACTCGGATTTATAATTATCTTGTTTGTATTAATTAACATATTATATTATTATAAATTTGTTTTAATTATATTATTATAAATTTATCCCCGATTGTGTTATGAAATATTTATAAATTGTAATTGACTATTTTTCAAGATGTATTTTTTATATGCTTATAAGCTAATTTTTGTCAAATGTATATTGTTTATTAGCTACCAGTTATTTTATCGGTCAATAATTAGTTTATCAGCTATTTGCTAATATAGCCTAAATACAATACTTGTATTTAATTATTATTTGAGAAATTAACACAGATTTAGAATATACGTATTAAGAGTTTTAAATAGAAATTTTCAAACGATAAACTTTTAAATATGGTTTTAAAATTATTAAATGAAAGGCCCAGGCATGTTTTTGACATTTTATAGGCCCTGAGCAAACATAAAAGAGGGCCCACTACAAGAAACAAGGCTTTTAGCAACGACTTTTGTTGTCGCTAAAAATCCTTTTATCATTAGAAATAGTATATAACAACAATATGTCGTCGCTATAACTTGTGGCAGAAACATGTCATCCCTAAAAGGCATATCGTCAAAGCTCACTTTTCTTGTAGTGACCCTCGGTAAGTATGAAAAAAAATTCAATAAATGTTTTTCATTAGTATAAAGTTGAGTACAAAAAATGCTAATAATTTACCGAGGAAATAAATCTTATTTATCTTTATTATACAAGAGAGTACTTAAATTTACGTACTTCTTATTAGGTAATTTGAAATCAAGAGTATAGAAACTACGGTTCATAAAATTTTATAAAAAGTAATAATTTTTTTAGTTTATAACAAGAAATATGTGTTATTTTGATACAAAAATAGAATTCGTGTTAATGAAATAATCGTGAGGTCAATGAGAGATAAATAATAAAGAAGATTATCAAGGTTTTCTAGACAAGTAGACAAATGAAGATCAATAAGAATATGAAAGAAAAGATGACCAATTGAGATCCAATAAGAATAAATAATGAATTAAACATATAATATGCAAGCTCAACAAATGATTGTTTAGGCACTTAAATAGAATCTTGTGGTGTGGTGGAATCCCAATGAAAGATACATAAGTCAAACAATTGATGAAAATATTTAAATTTTATTTTTCTTCTTTTTTTTATTCAACTAAAATAAGATGTTAAGATTAAAAGTTTATGGAACATGACATATATAAGAGACATTACTAAATACATCTAGTATAAAAAATTTATTGATTAATCACAAAACCATGAAACACGTAATAAATCATAAAAACAATAGATTGATTGTCAAAAAATAGTAAAATATTTATGTAGAAGCAAAAATTGATAACAATAATCAACAAAAACAATTAGAACAACATAACCAAGTATTAATAGTCAATGAAAGCAGAAATTGATAAAAAAAATATCCAACAAAAATATACAACAATAGCAAGCACATGATTTTAACGTTGAATTGTTGAAACACGAAAACAGTCAAGCATATAGAAATAGCAATAATCAATATCATTGGACCTTGTTGAAGATAAAAAAAAAATTAGAGAGACAATAAACAATAGCATATAATGAATGACAAATTAATTTTTTTTATTTTCATTTTCAATGTAATTAGTTGATATATTTTTAGGTATTTATTATCTACTAAATCTTTTTGCCTCTATTATATGCTACAATCTTTGGGTTTCTTTAATTTATTAAATTCCTTTAGACTATTATGTATTTTAAGAGAAAAATTTGGGTCCCTGATATTTTTGGGTCCTGGACGTGCATCCGTGCCGGCCTCCCCGAGGGACGGCACTGATGAAAGCATATGAAAAAAATATAGTTTTCTTGTTTTTATTTTTATATTTGCATTTGCATTTTTAAAAGAGAGATTTCATAGAAAACGACATGTAACCAAACAATTTTACTTAAGAAATCTAAAATTAATTTTGAACAATGTGAACGATTATAAATTAGTATTAATTTGACTTTGAGGTAAAGCTTGTAATATGATTTTAATATTTCATTTTTTATTCAAAATTTAATATTACAAAATACATTAATTTTAAATTGTTAGACATAAATCTCGACTTCATTTACATTATAAAGTGGTAATACAGCCAAAATACCAGTCTAGTTTCTAATTAGCAACTAATATATCTATACATCTAATAAATAAATAACTTGATTGTCACGTGTCGTCTTATTATGTGACAGTTATAAGGATTTCTTGTCTAAACATGTATGTAGATACAATTTACATTACTGGTTCAAATGGACTTTTTAATTGACATATGTTTCTGTAAACATAATTGATTTTCGTACGAAAAGGGTTTTTTTTTTAAAGACTTAAATAAGCAAAAGTCTGGATTTTCATTTCTCATACATATAAGTCTGATATCTACAGACTTTTTCAGTCACAAAAGTCTGAATTTAACTCTGAAGTGTCTTTCAGACCAGTTTGATAAAACTTTGTACTCACCTGATGCCTTAAATGGTCGTAAATTATCAAGGTTGTCAAACCATAAGATATTACTAAAAGTCGGTGTTCCAATTATGTTACTAAGAAATATTGATCAGAATTCTGGATTATGTAATGGAACTAGACTACAGGTCTTATCTTTGGGAAATCGGGTTATAGAAGCAGATATCATATCTGGAAGTAATATTGAAAGCCGGACATTTATTCCAAGAATGTTTTTGACACCTACAGACAAAATGATTCAATTCAAATTTCAAAGGAGACAATTTCTAATTGTTGTATATTTTGCCATGACCATAAATAAAATCCAATGACAGTCATTATTGAAGGTTGGTTTATTTCTAAGACAACTAGTCTTCACCCATGGTCAGCTATATGTTGTTTTATCTAGAGTTAAAAGCAGACAAGGTTTAAAAGTATTAATTATAGATGATGATGATATAATTAGCAATAGAACAAAGAATGTTGTATATAAAAAAGTATTTAGTAATTTATGATACATGGTTCTTATTTTATTAAAAAGTTACCTACTTACCTATTAATAATTTTATTTACGTTCTATTATTAATTTTCTTTTACAAGTTCTTCATATTTACTAATATTATTATTAATTCATTATAAAATGCATGCCACTTTCATTTATTTTTTGTAAAATACCTCGTGTAATACACGGGTTTGAATCTAGTATGTATATATATATATATATAAGAGCGATTAAATGAAAACCACTCCAATTTGTAAAAACCGTAAAAACTACTATCATCCGTCGTTAATCTTATGAAATTTTTTCATGAAATTGTTAATCTTGTGAAATTGTTTCATATAATACTTTTTTTGATGAAGTTGTTTCATACGTGCTTATGAAATTGTTTTATATACTACTTAATGAAATTTTAATGAAACTGTTTCATGTATTTTTCTAAAATTAAAATAATRAAGATGATAATATCCATGATTAACACTCTTCACAATAAAAATGGTTAATCAATCTCTCATAATTACAAAAAAAATGAACAAAATGAAAAATTATGATTGATTGAATGAGGTTTTCACGGTTTTTACAAATTGAGTGGTTTTTATTTGAACACACCCCTATATATATATATATATATATATATATATATATATTGAACAAACGAACAAACATCCCATACAAAACAACACACAAAGCATCAAGACTAAAGGGTTGTTTGGTAGTTGTTGAATGATTTAGTACAAAATGATTAAGTAGTCAGAATAATTAAGAGACTCATGATATAATGCAAAATAAATATAATTGTTTGGTAATTGTTTACAATAAAATTATAACACAGAATGGTTAAGGAAGGCCCATGATGCCAAATTATTCATAGGATTTTAAAATCATTAAGAGAGAGATTTTTTTTTGCCAAACAAAATTCACCTTTTAATGATTCAAAAACTGTCTTTTAATTAAACTATTAATAGATAAACAAACAACTCATAAACAGGAACAACGAGAGTGGTTTGGCTCGTGATATCCGAAAAGTAATATGATAAAATTGGAATTACAAATTCCTTCAATCAACTTCGGTTCTGTGATTGGATTGTGTTGAATTTTTATCAACGCTATTTGATGATATCATTATATTGTTATTTTAAAACCATTTGAGTTCTATTTCCTATCAATTAAACTCCTTCATTAAGAACAATTCAAACTCAAACTCAAATTCCAATTTGTTTTACGGATTGCAATTCTACCATTTTCAATTTGTACGACCAAAACGCCCTGAAAATTACATGGAAGATGGAGAAAATCTACTCAAAACCTCTGTTCTTCAGCATCAGCTACAACCAAATTTATAGCATGAAGCTCAAGATTCTGGTGTGGGAATTCTCTTTATCTTCTTCTTCTTCTTCTCCATAACTGTTGTTGAGAATGAATCCACCAGCTTCTGCTGGGATTCAAGGATCATTTCTGTCCTTTTCATCTCCATTTTCAATCGCATTGACTCAAGCTCCTTCGCCATATCCATCTTCATCCTCTCTACCTTCAATATCCCATCTCCTAACTTCCCTATGGCTGCCACCATTTCATCCATCGGATTATCGCCATCCTCCACCCTCCTCTTCACCCCAACATTTCTATCCTTACCCGACCCGTAATATGGGTTCATAAGTGGTGGGTAGTCATCCAATGATCGATTACTGTTGTACAGGTTTAAGACGGACGATGGTGGTGGCACGGCAGCAATATTTGGGATTTTAATCCGAACCCCATTTCGATTTCCGTTTCCAATTGAGCCCTGTTGCCGTCGATTGAGAGGGATACGGATGGATTGTTTGATTCCTTTAGGATATAGCAACAAATTGTTTTGATTCTCATCTTCTTCCTCCTCGTCTTGATGGGTCGGGTCGTCTGATGGATCGGACCCTAATTCCATCGAATCCATTCGTGTAAAGTGAACCCATGAAGAAGGATACCGGTGTCCCCTTGGAGTGTTGCCGATGCGTTGGATCTCCGAACGGTAACGTTTTCTCAGCTTCTCCATCTTGTGACGGCACTGAATCGAGCTTTTCGGTGGGTCGCTTAACGGGCACTGCGCCGCCATGCTATCGGCGACTTCTTGCCAGTGGGAGGCGCGTAGGTTGCCTCGACGGAGAGAATACCACTTATCACGATACGCATCGATTAGTGCTACGGTCTCTTCGTCGGACCAGCAAGGAGGAGGTAGGCGGCGGGAGGAGGTCGATGGTTGTGGGTTTGCTGGTTCTTGAGAGGAAGAAGGTGAGTACGAGTTAGCCATGGCAACGGCGGTGACGATGAAAGACCGAAGTCAGCCGTGATAGGGCGGAGACGGAGAAAGAAGGAGGCGGTGGGCGGTGGTGGTGAGAGGAGGCATGACGAAATAAAGGCGTTAGGTAGGAGTTGATAAAGGTAGGGTGGAGGGGCAGGCGGCTGAGTAAGGGATGTAGCGGTGAGGTGGTGGGGAAGGCTAACCTGCGCTGTGGATAAAGTGCGCACCATGAGTAAAAACAAAAGCAAAAGAAAAATTCCGGCCGTTTTAATATTATTATTATTGGGTGGTTGAGCACCGCCGGAGCCGGAGCCGGAGCCGGAGCAGGCGGGTGGTGGTTTCCGGTGGATTTGTTATTGGGGTGGGGTCGTTTTCTTGATAAAATGTTGGCCTACTTTGAAGCAAAAGGTCTCCATGACTGATAATGGTGGAGACCAAGATCCATCACATTATATGACTCTTAATCCATACGCAACTTTATAAACCCAACGTCTGTTTTCAGAAGAAAACAAAAAAATTAAAAAATCACATGGTACGGTATTTTATATAGGGTTATTTATAAAAATAACCAGTTTACATAACCTTTTACCATAAAATAACCACATTTTAGAGGTTTTGCCAAAATAACCACCCTGATCGCCCCCGACACAATGGGGGAGATTCCGGGTAAAAAAAAAATCCTCAAAAGTCGAGATTACTGTTCACCTCGTTGACCGTGTTTGACCTCGCCCCCGGGGTGATTCGTACTGTACCGGGGGCGATCCGGGTATAAAGAAAAATTTTGATTTTTTTCTAATATCAATTTCACTATAAATACCAACCTCCTAATTCATAATTTTTCACACATTCCCTTCCATTTCTTTTCTCATATATTTTACTCTCACAACCTTTAACCCATTAAACACAATAAACCATCACAACCTTTAACTCACTAAACACAATCAACCATCACAAAACATGAAATCACGTAAAAGTGATAATGTTTGTGTGTATCTTCGAAGTGGCGGTTTATTTCAAGACACACTTTATGTATTTTTCAATTATCATCCGGTTATTTTATAACGAAAAACCGTGAAATTTAAAATTAAATACGTAAAAAGACACACTTTATGTATTTTWYAAYTTTTATTAAAAACACCCCTTAATTGTTGAATAAAAAACAAAAAAATAGAGGTCAAATTTCGTCAATCAGATATTATATATGATTTCCGAAACACAAAACAGAGAAAATTAATTTTTGCGTCTCCATAATTATAAAGATTTATTTTTAAACTTTTTCTCATGAAATTTGGTTTTAAAAAAGTTACAAAATACAACTTCAATTTTATAAAAAAAACAAAAAAAAAACACAGGTGAACAGTACAGATCGCCCCCGGTACAGTACGGATCTGCCCGGGGGCGAGGTCAAACACAGTCAATGAGGTTTGAGGAAAAAAAAATTTACCCGGGATTGCCCCCATTGTATACGGGGGCGATCCGGGTGGTTATTTTGGCAAAACCTCTAAAATGTGGTTATTTTGTGGCAAATGATTGTGTAAACCGGTTATTTTTATAAATAA